AAACGGAGTAGACTATTTTATTAAAACATGAATATTTCGACCTGACCTCAGGTCCTCTTCAGCATGACTGATTAGCATTATGATCAAGTTGGTACAGTACAATAATATCTAATACTGTTCCAACTTGATCATAATGTTAATCAGTCATGCTGAAGAGGACCTGAGGTCAGGTCGATATATTCATGTTTAATAAAATAGAGTTCTAAAGTCTACTCCATTAACCAACGTTTGGTTGACAACAAAGGTGTTGTGACGACACGACTATTGTACTCTTATAATACAGCAACAACCGGTGGATCAAGCCCATCGCATACATAACGAAAATGGTGCAACAGTTTGTAATCTCCAGATTATCTTTTTTCCCTCCATTTTTTACTTGATATTTTTTTAAATAGCAGTTGTTCTTTCTGACAAATTGTTTGTTTTTCTTCTTCAATCCTGTTTCCATATTTTCTTTTACACTGAAAAGTTCTGACCTGCTTTGGTCAATTTTCCGTCCTGGAATCTTCTTCAGACATTCTCCAAGCAAAGACTTGGAGACAATTTCACATTGAACATTATAAGCAGTTATATTTTAATTTCTTTTTTCCTGTGTTATTTACGCTAGACTTTTAAAATCTTAACATCACTTGTCATAATAGCAATGAGGAAAAGACCTATGTTCTGTTTTCAAAATAGACATAGTAAGTGTATTTGTTGTTGCTAATAAAAATAATTATAATATCGTTGTTGTTTGCTTCTTTCATTATTTCTATTAATATATTTGTCATTAGTTAAGACAGACCTACTAATGAATGACAAAATATTATGTATACGAAAGAAAAATATCAATCGGTTTAAAATTATTGTTTTTAAACAATTATTTTTACTAGTTGTGAAGAAATGGCTTCTAGAAACACTCTTGATGAAGACACAAAGAATTATCTTCGAATATTCCCGATTGTACTTGTTGAAGGAGCAAAGGCACTAAAGTACTTTTTGAGAAAATGTCTCAATGATGAAAATGATTTTAAAACGTTCCTTGATGAATTTTTTTTTAAAGTAATTGAAAAATTGACAAAAGAATCTGAAAAATCAGACCCTATCGAAAACAATCGGGCAAAACGTGATAGCTCATGGTCTATGATCCCGACAGCATTAGAAAGGCGAGATAAATGTAAATATGATGCTTCGTCACTGGCAAGTATTTTAATAACCTCACATATATATGCTGATGATCTTCAACATTTCAAGAAATTTGAAGATAAATTCGTTGATACAATCACGGAACTGCGACGTATATGTAACAGAATTTGTCATAATTTTGAAGAGACCATGTCTAGCACAGAGTTCAAATCAATTGTAGATGAAGTGAAACATCACGTAACATGTCTTGGCTACGGTACAGAAGGAATCACTGCTTGGGAAGAGAAACAATTAATCGATAGTGAAAACGCCGAGTATATTAAAGATCTGATCTACGCATTCAGTGTGACTTCAATTCCAGAATATAGTTCTGGTAAGTAGGCATGTTGTTTTGCTTAACTGAACATTTTATAATCCTACATTTCAAATACACGATAATATATACTTTGATGAGACGCAAATGCAGGTATTGCTCTGCCAAATGAAAATATAGAAAATTGGACAGCATGGACTATCAAACCATAAACCGTTAAGCTTTGTCTACACTATCAAATTTGATGTGACAAAAAAAAATTGATGTGCCAATATACGGCATTGTATCAAAAAAATTAATTGTGATCTTCCATCACATTTTATGTGATGCTTTTGTTAAAAATGAAATTTGATAGTGCAGACAACAACAATTCCCTCTTCCCAAATACTTATCGATGATCTCATCTCTCCATCTTTTACGTTGTCTCTTTTTTCTGCCATCCATTGGCAGCGGTGCCGCCAGAAATTTGTCGACAAGGGGTCAGACGTTTCTGATAGAGGGGTCCAAGGCGACGACAAAGCCTCAGCCTACGCCCCCCCCCCCCAAAAAAAATCCATGTTAGGGTTTATGGGGAGAGTTTCTATGGCCTACTTTGGTCCTAAAGGTGCTTTTAGACCAAAATATTAAGAATTGGAATTCTAAATAGCCTTAATTTAATTTTTGGTCTGACAACTTAGTCGTTCGTCGGACGACAGGGGTCCAGGCCTCTCTGACAAGATAGAGGGGTAGATGCCTCCTGCGGCAAACTTTTTCTACATTTAGTTGTTAGAGTCCACCGTAGACGATAGTTATGATGCATTGGTTACTGAGTTTCCTCTTCTGACATAGCGGTAGTTTTCCCCTCATGATGTCACTATATATATATGTATATATAATATTGTATATACAGTATTATATATGTATATGTGTGTATGTATGTATATGTATGTATCAGTCGTTTATGACAACAAGGCATTTTAACTAGAGCACTGTATTCATTTTCGAAAGACATTTTTTGCCAGTCCTCTGGCCTTCATTAGCTTTAATGATGAATGTATTTATTTTCAAAGACATTTTCGGCCAGTCCTTTGGCCTTCATCAGCTTTAATGAATTGAACATTAAAGAACAAATATTTCAAAAACTGATCAACTAATCTGAATGAAATTTTCTGGTAAGTTTAACCAAGTTACAAGGAAGACCTTATTACATTGTGGTGACGATCCGGATTCGGGTGTGAATTTGAGGGTCACTAAAAGTGCTAACGTGCCAGTTATATTAACTTTCCAGAATATTTTTTATGGTCCAATGAAGAAATAATTTTAGTGAGGATACGGAGTAGGGTGTGGGTATGAGGACCATTTAAAGATTTTTTTGGACATTTGATTAAATTGTATAAACGTAATTTGCGTTTTTTAAAGCTTTTTTAAGCTACATTCACATCAAACCAAAGATAATAAATAGCAGACGACAGAGCAGCTTCCCAATATAGTGGAACATCCGTTCAAAAGGCATTTTGGGTACACGGAGAGCAATTTTACTGCAACCGCGCGGCGGCGCTATATAAAAATAATAAAGGCGCTGCTCTTGTTCGCTTGTTTGATTTATTTTCTTCACTTAGTAAAATGTTCAAATTTTACTGCAACCGCAGGAGGGCGAATGTTCCATCGATTTTAATGCAACTACGCGGAGCAGCTCATTCTTCTACTATTTAAGTTCTTTGATCAAGCCCGGATCCGGTCCGGAGCCCGGACAAAACATTGTGAGTTGCTACGTTTTTTAAACGCTGCGTTCACATCGCGCACGGAACACGGTTGTTCGGGTTAAGTATGCGTGAGTTCGATTGCTTCGAACCAACCAAGCTTGTTGCTGATTGGTCGAAGAAAAAAAAAGTACGATTTCAGGATACAAATGGCTCTCAGATTCATTGGTCCGGATCCGGAGTCCGGATTGGAAATGGTACGAATTTGATGTTAACGGTCTTATTATTTACCATTTTTCACGATATTTTTTCCGGACTCCGGACTTGATGTGAACGCAGCTTTAAACATTGTCCAAGTTCGGGTTTTCCTGGCGTCGACTTGCTTTTTATGTGTTTTATCTTGATAATTTTCTGTATGATTTCAATTTTTTAATGTGTTATTTCACGCTAGAATTTAAATGAGTTTTATTTAAAAAAAATCAATATCACTTTCCATTATAGCAGTGAGGAAAAGCTATATGTTTTGTTTTACAAACATACATAATAAGTTTATTGTTGTTGTTGTTGTTGTTATTATCATTATTATGATAATTATCATTATCGTTTTCACCATTATTATCATTATCAATAATAATAATAATGATAATAATAATGGTATTATTATTTAAAAAAATTTGTATCGTGCTCCATTTAATCCTTCTCAGCCAAGCTGCAATCTGGATCGACTTCTTTTAACTCTACGCACGATGTATTTTGTCAAGAACGTAAGGATGTCGAAAGCTCTCAAAAAGCAAACAGTATGATTGAAAGTAAAGCAGCTAATGAAACTGAGTCGTTACATGGGGCACGGCCGAAGAAGGCAATAGAGAAGGTATATATAAAACACAATACATACAGGACTAATAAATATAATCTATGACTTCCATAGATTAAATGTTTAGAAGTTAAGTTGTCAAAATTAGCTGATTTCCCGCATGTTAATTTGTTTATGAATTTAATATCATATTCAGGGTAACATTTGTAGCATGACATTATTGTTACAATTACCTACACAATTTATTAGTGTTAAGTAGTATTTTTACACAAAAATTATAGCAATCATGTTATTGATGTTTTCAACAACATTGGTGAGTACATAATTATTGAAATTTACATGCTTGACCTTGGACCAAATAGATTTATAATCATTATTATACATAGAATAAGCTAAGGCATCGAAATAAATTAGTTCCTTGTTAGCTTTACATTGCCTAAGAGCATATTTTGTCATAGAAGAGCTGTAAACTCTTTCTCTATCAAAAATGTGTTTTTAATGTAAATGAATAGAGCACGTCAATATCTTTATAATGAGGGGTCAATGACTTCAATCGGACAATTATAATTAAAGTTATGCTACTTTAAAATATATAAAAAAAAAGGGCTTTAAAAGTACAAGTAAAAATTGAAGGAAATCACAGCAATAGTCAAAGAAAAACAACACAGTTCCCATTGAGCTATTGTGATGAAATTGTCAATGGTTGCTAAAAATAGGTTGGGGAACAGCATTATTTTATTTTCAAGTCGATAATCCCGGGGGTTAATTATTGATACCCCGGGGAAGAAATTGGTTATACTTTCATAAAGCTGAAGCATCCACTTACTGACTATGGTGCCCCACCATAGTCAGTATTTAGTAGGCAAAAAAGGTGTTTCATTCATCAAGCCTTGATACATAGTG